ATTTTATCAATGAGAACCACAGATGTGCGAAGACCAGCTTTCACTACACTTTATTATGTTTTTAGCATAAACTAAAAATCAATTGTGTCTTGTTAATAAAATTCCACCACAACAACCCAATTAGTGAGACTCATTAATTTTTTATGCATGTTACTAATGCGCATCAAGCCAGCTGACCTTTCAGAGACTAGTGTAGCACACATTCACGTTTTCTGCCTTCTTTTCTTTGATTTACAGTAGTTGCAATGCGTTTTCCAAAAAGCAAAGCCCAGTTTTTCAGTGAAGCTCAGAGCTGGCTTCTCCCTTCTGCCATGTAATTCCTGATCACACCTGACTAGTCCAGTGGGGCCAGAGGATCACGGAAGCACAAAGACACCTCCAAGCTATTTCCACCTGCAGATCAGATGCAAGCAAAGCCTGGCCACATATGAGGTTATCTGGAAACACAGGGACTCAGGGGTCACCAGCAAAGACTCTTATTCCTGCAGGGACTGAAGACAGGCAATCCCTTGTCCTGCTCACCCCTGAGACGATGACAGCTTCCACTCCACTCAGATACTCACAGCAGGGGACACTTTTTGGTGGTTTCATAACAGATAGCCCAAATGCCAGTCAGTCCAGCCCAAAGCTGGCCTCAGTGTGGCACAAAGCACAGGATGTGCCACTAATGGATGCATGTAGCCATTAAGTCAGTAAAGCAGAAATAAAAGAATTTAGGAATAAAATGAAACTTCTGCTTGAGTAAGGGCTTCTGGATCAGGCATTAAATCTGCCTGGTATCTCTCTCCAGTGTCACTGCACACCTATTTTCTCCTTGTAAAGCACAGTATTGATTTTTAAATGTTTTCATTCACACTTAGAAGCTTTCCAGGATTGGACTTTATTCTTCAATATTATCTGCTGAACAGTGAAACACTGGAACAGATTGCCTGGGAGCACTACAGGGTCTCCATCACTGGGAGACCATAAGGACAGGTTATCTTCAAGGAACTTCATAGGTAGAGGTGAGCTTTCCTTGGAACAGAGACATGGACCAGAAGACCCCTCGTGTTCCCTCCCAGCCCTATTTCTCTATGAGCAGTCAAGCACACTCTGCACCTGAAACAACCAAGAGAATTAATCTGCCCTTTGAGACATAAGCAGCATCTCAGTGGTGGGGAAGATGACAGGTTATCCTACCTTATGTCATCCCTCTAAAATCTGGTTCTTTCAGAGCTTTTGGCCCAAACTCTCTCCAACTGTATCTCCCAGAACTTGGTACTAACACAGCTGCAAGTCAAATTTGGCCCTTGCTACCAGATTTTTTGGGAATCCTTGGCCACACCCCAGGGAGGGGAACAAATCTGGGCAGGTTTCCAGAATGGTGGCAGATGCAAGGGCTAAGGGCTCTCTGAAAAACAGTCCACAACCACCACAAAGGAGGGGACTAATTTATCAGCTTTTTGCCACCCATGGTAGGTACCAAGCACTTGAGAAACCCAGCCCTTATTCACCATGGATATCTGTCATGTTTAGAGGGGTAATTTATTAAAATACAGCAAAGTGGCAAGTACTAAGAAGCATTAACCAAGTGACAAGTGCTTATGCATATTTTATGAAGCATCTTCAACCACGGTTCAATGTATCCAAGAATACTTCTGAAAAATGGCAGATTCTGGAGGGGATTTGGAGAGGAAATAACATATAGAATAGGAGGACAGATGTTGCTAATTTATGATGCAAAGGCCTTTACTGAAAAGTGCACATTTTGCTTAAGATTCTCTACAAACGCTATTTTAATGCTGATTTCCTCCTCTTTAGAATTTCACAAACTCTTCTCTGTAGGAACTTCAGCTTGGCTCAGAAGTTTAGCTTGGATCAAAAGCAGCATCTGTAACCAGCAATTAAACTGAGGCTGCAGTATTGTGTATGTTTTTAAAGCATATCCACTTTTTAACAACTCCACTTGAAAAAACATGGCTAAGCTGTACGTTGGGAATGTGCGAGTGCGTTTTGCCTTTCTGCTTTCCACTCTTGCCAGGGTTTTTGGGACTTTTTGACCTGGGACTGAACTCAGAAGAGCAACAGAGCAGGAGCTAATGAGCTCAGAAAACAGAAGCAAGATCATCTCTTGAAAAAATAAAATAAAATAAAAAAGCTGGATATACTGGCCCAAGTGCTTAATCAGTCACTCCCAATGCCTCATGCACCATCACACAATCTTGTTTTTTCTATTGCCATTGAAGAGCATTTTGAACATGAATCAGTTGGTTCTCCTCTTTCCTCCTCACTCTACCCCAAAAGGTTTGAAATTAAAGTAAGTAAGACAAGAGCCTCATGCCCCACACGCAGGAGCCTACACAGATATTTTTTTCTGCTTACCAGCCCCTCCACACGGACATGTGGCTTGATTGCTCCTCTGCAGCTCTCCAAAGACAACACACACTACAGAGCAGATTATTTTCTGCAAGGTTGCTACACCGCCAGGGGGGTCTGTGAAATCCTCCTTGTATGTAAATATCAGTTAAAAATAAAAAAGGAGAACCATGCGCTGACTTCTCCTTCTGGCATTCACTTCAGACACTGCTGGATCATGCCAAAGTGCAAATCAATGGCAGGCACAATCATGTACAGATGTTGCACCAAAAAACCTGACATCAATCCAGGACTTTATCACAGGGCGCCTTTTGTTCCTAAATTGAAGTGACATTCTTATTTCGAACAAGGTGACATTAAAAAAAAACAAAAAACAAAAAACAAAAAACAGAAAACACAAAAACACTCCACCACAAACAAACCAACCAAAAAAACCCCAAAGCCCAAAACAACCTTACAGTTATATAATTCAACAACCAAAAAAATTCAAGAATTAAGGTTCCCTGTACAACCACATTGTGGATGGGAGCACCAGGGGTTGTCACTGCTCCAACAGGAGGATGTGGCCGAGGGCTGCACAGTGATATATGCAGTGCTGATATCTGGCTTTACTGAAAGCAAGGGGACTCCTGATTCTCCATTAGCGCTTCCATCACCACATCACAGACACATGGCCACAAACACATCCCTGTGAAGAAGGCTTTGTGTATGCCCTATACCCCACCAGCACCAGTTCAAACCAGTAGCTGCTGCCCTAGTCCCTGTGCCGGTATGGGTCCTGCCCCAGTAGCAGACAGCCCTGGGGAGGGTCTTGGTGCCCACAGGCACAGGGTTACACTGCAGGAACTTGGCCAGATCCAGCACAGTCCCTCAGCAGCTCAGGGCTGCTGTGCACTTAGCAATACTTCATGCTCACACACTCCCATGGCGCTTTCAGAGGAGAGTGATTACCCTGCAGAACACTATATCACCCATCCCAAGCAGAATTTATTTACTTTTTTTTGTTTGTTTTAATCTGATAAGTTGCAATTTCAGTACACTTGTCTGCAAAAACACTGCATTACAAAGACATATAACAAATACCAATTGTTTATAGACTAGGTTATTTATTCCCAGTGTATCTTCCTGCCTTTTACTGGCCGCGTCTTTTATCAGCAATAACCAAGTACCTTTCAAGTTGACAACCTGTTTGGTTTACGGCAGGAAAATGCATCCAAGTGCCTTTTGAGCCTGCTCTTGCTGCATAGAATTCAAATACCTCAATGAGCATCATTCTTGCAAAGTTTAGTTTTGATGTGATTCACATTTTTGTTTTGTTATCTGTTAATCAGTACTGTCTTATGATGGGATTCTTAAGGCTAAGCAAACTTTTCAAGATCAGTGTCAGTGCCAGAACCAAGTCTCCCTGTCCACATATTGCCCAAAATCATAGTATCTGAAAAGAATAATAATCATAATCAAGGTCCAAGTAATTTTGAGATGACAGGCCATTTCTAGTTAGCATTAAAACGAGCTGGACTTCCAGGACATCAGCTAAAAAAGAAAATAGAGGCTGACTTGGGGAGCAGCTTGCAGGGACACCCAGACTGCTGGGACACATAAGATTTCAGGGCAAGAGGATAAAGCCTGAAAAAACAGTAACCACATGTGTGCAAAGTAATAGAGAAGGAGCCTGAATGCCCAGAGCTGGACCCCAGACCTGCCATGTCTATTGAACCACAAAGAAGATGGTTTCACTTACAGGTATGGACAAATTGCAGTGGTGAAGCCAAGCAGGTCCATGGGGTGTGCAGCCACCTCTCATCCCCGCTGCCCTCCCACACCCTGGCACCACTGGGCAGGAGTCTGCCCTCCTCCTCCTCCTCCCTGCCGTCCCTCCATCTCCTCACCACCCACTTACTCCACATGGCTCTTCCCATCATTTATTTCCTTTTGAGAGAGCTGATTCACAAGCAATAATCAAGGCTTTTGTGTTTTAATGTTTTGATCATACTCGGTCCCCTGCTCTCCCCCAAGCCCCTTCCAGGTTCACGGCAGTGACACCTTCCCTTCAGATTTCCTCTCCAAGAGCCTTCATTTCTCTCCCTAATTGAATTGTTGTCATGGAAATCATTCCTCCTCTCCATCTTACTGAAAGGCTTTAAAAAAAAAAACAAACCCATAACAAACCACCAGCCCCCTGCTCTACCAGTTTTCCAGCAATCAGCCCCCCCAGGTCTCTTCCCTGAGCAGACCACAGCCCCAGCAGCTCCTTCTGCTGGGCCGGGAAGGCCCATCCCAACACCCCCACTCCCCCCTCCCATATCCCCATCCTGACACAGCCCCAGTACCTGGGCACCACCACAATATGTTGTCTTAATACATCATTAGGGTGATCTCCGGCTTTGCTACATCACTTTCCTTCTCAGAGGTGTGATACCCCTACAGCTGAGGAGCCATTAGCTATCAAATGCAGAGCATAGCCACAGCCACCTGTTCCTCTCTGTCTAAATATATATAGATACACAAATACATGTAAATGTGAAGTGTTTAGGTATTTTTTTTTTTAAAAAAAAGCCTGCGCTTACATAACAGGCAGTAATTCTGCAGTCAAGAAAGTCTGTTTGTTTTTCCAGGGTGGAAAGTTAATTACGGAAAAAAATCACCTTTGATGAACTTCCAAGATGAAGGCTGCTGGCTCCAGAAACGGAGCAGGGCTGAGCTGGCTCCAAAGAGAGAAGAAGAAAAAAAAAAAAAAATAATGGTGTTCAAAATCCAATCCATTAAAACCTGGTGCTGGGTGCCCGGGCCTGGCGCTGGCAGGGACTGCAGGGGCTGAAGGTGTGAGGAGAGGCCAGGGCTGCCCCACCTGGACACAGATGGTTCCGGAAGGTTCCAGCCAGTTCCAGCACCGGGCCCAGCCCAGCCCCACAGCCAGGCCTTGGGGAAAACACAGCTACAGCAGGGCAAAACTGGCACAGAATGAGGAAAAATGTGTGAGAAACAGCCCTGTGAGCACCTAGGGGGAGCTGGAGGAGGTGCTGCGGGTGCCAGGCAGAGTCCCTGCGGCCATGAGGGGAAGGGTGTGAGGAGGAAGGAGCAGCAGAGAGGAGCTGTTATGGACTGGCCACAACCCCCAGTTCCCCATCCCCCTGTGCTGTTCAGCAGACGGAGAACATAGGGGAGTTGGGAATGAAGGAGTGAAGTGCAGGCAATAAAAAGGGAGGGGTATCCTCACAACCAGCACTCGAAGCAAAGCCTGTGCCCAGGCTTTGGGCATGACAAAGCTTGAACCACCCACAGCTCTACTCAACAACTATGAGAGCAGTTGTGTTTGCTGAAAACCTGGACCAAAGCTATAAAAAGAGGATATCAATGTCTCATCAATACCTTATACTGGAGTATACATAGAAAAGCTGCTTTACTTACGTTCAGCAATCCCACCAGCAGCCCTAACCCATGGAGAACAATCCCCATGCAGCCATGCTCACCCCAGCCCCATGTTCTGCTGGAACACACATCCCCAGCACCCCAAACTCTGTGCTTTCCTCTGTCCACCTGCACCTCCAGCCCAGCCCCAAACAAACCACTGGGAGAGGACTCCTCAGTTAAAGCAGCAAATCATTCAACCACTCTCATAGTGGTGATAGCACCAAACCCAGGCCACCTTCTTCAAGTTTATTTGACTCATACAAAGGCAAAACCAGAGGTCAGCGTGAGGCCAAGGACAGCTTTCAGCATTTCATAATAGACAGGGTCTGCACAGAGAACCAGGATTAAAATACCCTAAATCCCAGATAGGAAGACACAAGCAGGCATTCAGCCATGACTAATACCCCAAATATTCTCAAGACGGAAAACAAGAAATCTGCTCCATGATCATTCACTGACAGAGTCCCATAAAGCTACTAATTAGAATGGTGTTTACAGTCTATATTTCATTTCATTTGATGTTTTTACTCTGATTAGTTATTCTATCACCTGCAGAGAGCTAGTTAACTGAATGCAAAGATGTCATTGGACTTAATCAAGTAAAGTACCATTTCATAGAGGAAATTCAGCTAGCTCTGTCCTGCTCAGTGCTGCTACCCTGTTAATAACTTTTTTTAAAAATTAAATTTGAAAGCTAAGAAGAGTCAAGTTAGGTCAGTGCTCAGAAGAGAGACACCTGCAAGAAAATGGGCAAGCTGAAAAAAAATTGTGTATTACCGACCCTTTCTTCTGCATAAACACCCCAGCCAGACACCACAGCTTCTGGAGGAAATACAAAGCAAGGTTCAATGCTCCTGTGGTCCTGGAATATACGGTGCACCTCCTAGGAAGAGCAGTGCTCCTCCCAGCATCTTCTCACACCAAGCCACCTAGCCTACCTGAATTGCTTTGAGATTTCAAATAAGATTGGAAGGTTTTCTCTCCCTCCCCGCCGGGTCATCAGCATCACAGTCTCTCACACTGTGCCCTGCATCCTGCCAAGCCCTCCCCAGGGCTGCTAGAGCAGCAGCATCACTTCACGTGTACTCCCTGCACACAGCCCTGCAGAGTGCCTTTTTATCATTACATGATAATGTGATGCTGATTTTTGTCCTGCTGATAGCCCACTGTAACCCCAGATCCTTTTCCTGAAGTGTTGCCTAGCCTGCTATTTGCCATCTGCAGCAATTTTTGCCCCAAGCTATCACTTGGCCCTTTTATCCTTTTTTCCAGATCACCATTTCAGTCTGTCCAGATTATTTTAAGTGCCCTGGTTCTTCTTCCCCAAGAATCTGCAGTCCCTCCCAACAACTTTATATCACCTGTCAGTTTAACAAACGCATTCTCCATTCCATTATCCAGATTGATAATGAAAATATTGAACAGAGATGGACAGGAGCCAGCCCTGCGGAGCCTCACAGATTTTCTGGGAATCCAAGATAAATGGGCTGGTCCATAAAGCCCTGACTCTTCTTTCCCCTCTGTTTTAAACACTGGCACCACTTTTACTGTTATCTTTCTTCCAGGCAACTTCCACGTCGCACGCACACCCGAAGCACTCTCCTGCAGCACTGTGATGCTGCATCCAGGTCTCTGGGGCATCTGAAGCTCCCCAGACCCCGCTGAAAATACCTAAAATTGCAGTCGATGAGGAGGTCTCCCCTCCATTAGAGGCACATGTTGGGGCTCCCGCCCACAGCACCCTTGCTGAGAAAGCATGGCACCTCTGGCCTTTTCCTGCTCAGCCCTCACAACCGACATCTTGGTTGGCGAAAGATGCAAATATGCTTTTGCTTTACAATAAAAATTGATGCTTTTCTCTCCCATTTAGCTTCCTAATCACAGCTAGCCAAGCTTGAAAATGCTACCCTCATTATGCAACAATTTACTAAGAACAGGGGGATTTTGCATAAAATGTGTGCTGTAATGAAAAGCATTCCCCCCCCCCCCTCTGCTAGGGGGCAAAAAAAAAAAATAACCACCCACAGAAAACAAACAAAACCTCTGTCCTCTAAGAGATGTTCACTTTTACTAGCTATTTGGTTCCATTTTAGTCATTCATCTACTGACAATATTTCTGACAAAAGCAGAGCAGAAACAGTTCAATTTGCAAAGAGCTGGGCTGTTTAAACCTCTACAAAGCCATCTACAGTTTTGCCCCGAATTCCACTAAAAAACCACTAAAGGCTGCTTCTCCAACTGAGGGGCTGGGGTTTCTTTTTTTGAAGAGAAAAAGCCATTATTTAGTTATTAGAGTGGAGAAATATCATTCTCTACAAGACACAGAGCACTGAAATGTTCTAAAATTAATACACTGGTCTACTCAGTGCATTTTAAAATTAGAATTCATTTTTCAGAGAACCTGTATGCAAAGTTGCAGCCTGATGCAAATTTGAACAGTAATAAACACTTCAAAAACACGTTTATAATAGAAATGCTAACAAATCCTTAACTATAATGATAATGGCTTGCTTAGGCAGCTCTATAATGTAAAATTAATCCTTAACATGTCTTAATTTTTTTTCCACTGGGTCATTTAATAATGTGATAACTCATTTCTTTCCTCTGCCTTCATCTCTCACATTGCCATGGAGACAATTGTGAATCAGATATAAATAAAAATACTCTAACACTGTGGCACCACATGTTCTTTTGATCCGTTGCCAACATGATTTTAAAATTACAGGAATTCACAGGAGCTCAATAATTAACAATTCATTTGCTAAGAAATCACTTCTTTTTAGCGAGTTTCCTGGTGATTTTCTAACTCAGGACTGCTCACAAACATGAGCAAAAATTAAAAGTTCTGTATTTCCTTTCAAATACCTACCTTGCACTTCAATCAGCAACTCCGAGGCAAGCAATTATTGCAGGCCAGAGCCCAAAAGCCAGCACTGCATTTCCCTTTTTTGTCTCGTCAGTCTTAGCGTGATTTCTAATGGGAATACATTTTAAGGCAATTTTTAATTGTTTGAGCTCAGAATTTACTTCCAAGGAAGAATAACAGTATGCAGTGAGCAAGTTTATTGCTGGCCTCTATTATCAGAAGTGTTAAATCGAGCACATGGATCCCTGCTTCTGTATTAGTTTGTTAAGTACATACAGCAGTAGAAAGATTATGATTAATTATGCATTAATGATCTTGACACCCCTTAATTGCTACCCACTGATAGAGGCTATAATCCCTGATATTATCCATGTTCTCAGAAATCCTGATGCAAGACTCTCCCCTCTAACAATACCAACATGAATTTGCACAGGGGCAGGTCTGGGTCAGCAGCTTTTTAGACCAGAAGGTGCTAAATTCGATCCTTGCCGAGGGGCTCGTGGTCTCGAGTGACTCCAGCGCTCCCAACACCTTGTCAATGTCACTGTGCGTAACCTGTAATAACTTGTAGCTTCGTGCTCACAGCATGAGGACAGTCCTAGTGGTGCACAGTTCACAATTAAGGACTTCAGTTTATTAAAGAACTTCACTGTGTGCTTAAACCTTTGAAGTCACAGAAGAGCTCACGGTCTCAGGTTTTACAAAGGCTCTTATGCAACTCCAAAATTAGTATTTGCCGTTACATAAAATCCTCAGTTAAGCAGCATTATTATATCATTTACACGGTATTCTGTTCAGCCTCACCAGGCTTTTCCAGCCCAGCATCCCAAGAGGAGATGTGTTTCTCTGCACAGCCTTTTCCATCTTCCACCGTCTTTGAAGCAGAAGGGCCAGTGTGGGCTGACCAAGTTATTAATCATTGCCACGTCTCTTCCATTAAAACATATAGGCTACGACTCTACAAATGCCTCTGTGCGTCACAGGGAAATCTCACACACATGAGGTCTTGTAAAAAAGCCCCCAGCTCTAATAACTATTTTGTCCAAAAGGATTCAAAGTGATTTAAGAGCTCAACTCTGACTCTCGAGAGCAACATAAGCACCTAAGGAGTTTAAATAATAGCGAGGACTCAGTGGCGCAGAGCTTCCCTTCCCAATATAATTCCCACTGTAACAGCTAATTATAATTACTGATACAGCGGGTATGGCTTGATACCAGCCCCATCCTTTTGGTGACTTACAATGATCTGCTTCTCGAGCAGACTAGGGGAAGTAAAGACAAAAGAAAAGAGAGAACAAAAAGGGAAAAAGGTCACTCTTTCCCACACGAGAGCTGCTAAGGGCTGGTCCAGGGGGAAATAACATGTTGACCAGCCACCAACTGCCTGCAGACAGAGCTTCAACAGCAGCTTCTCCAGCTTCAGCTCTGACCTCTCCTCTCTGCAGTAACTCACAGGTGAACAAATCCACTGGCCAATGCTTTCGGA